GTTAAATAAGTTTTAGGTCCCTGTAAATATCTCAAGTTTCATTTTTAGTCCCTCAAATATTTTCCTTCAAAGATTGGTCCCTTCAAAATTTCCCGTCTGGACAATTGGTCCCCAACGTCAAGTTCCACTAACGGCTTCCTATGTGGCAAGACAGGTGGATTAAATAATTTGTTTTATATTTTTTCATGGAATACAGCGTGTACACCTTCATAAAGTTGAGTCACATGCATTTTGACCTAATTCATTTTCTTTCCTTTTTGTTCATAATCTTCTTCGAGAAATTCCTTCTTCTTCTTCTTCAGTTGGTGTGGTGGTTCGCCTTCCATCTTCTTTCTGCTTCAGTTGGTTTGGTGGTTCACCTTATTTCTTCTTTCATCTTTTCCATCCATCAGTTGCATAACCCTAATGTCTATTTCTTTTGTGAAATCGCGAGTTGGGAAGTTTTGTGGTTGTCAGGTTCAGATGGTATCGTATTATTGCAAGAATGGACCAAATAAGGGTAAGTTATTTTCGAGATTTCCTTATTGGCATAGTTCTGATACATGTAATCTATTCATATGGGATGAATATCTTGGTGTAAAATCTGGAAATGAAGATGTTACCATTAGGAACTTAGAGTTGGAAGCCATGACATTTGTGTGATATATGAAGTCGTTGTATGAAGAATCAAGCAAGAAGAACAAGAACTTGAAGACCAAATTGAAAATTGAAAATTTTCATAGAATATTGAAGATGTTGTGTCTTGTTGTGTCATTTATGATAAATGTGTATTTTGTTATCAATTGTAGTTGCTTAATTGTTCATCTAATGAGAATGTATTGTGATTTTAGGTCTTGCTTTAATGTTCATTTTGTTATCAATTGTAGTTGCTGAATTGTTCATCTAATGAGAATGTACTGTGATTTTGGGTCTTGCTTCAATGCTCATTTTGTTATCAATTGTAGGTTTTGAATTTTTATCAATATTGTTTGTTACGATTAAGTTGATATAATTTGCAATATTGGTATAAAAAGCTTGTAATTTTATTGTTAAGTGCATAACTAAGCACATACTGAGACATGAGTACATATTGCATTAAAGGTTCAAAGTGCATAACAAAGCACATTACAAAGTGAATAATAATTCACATTACAAAGTGCATAACAAAACACATTACAAAACACATAAAAAGTACATAACAAAACATATTACAAAGTGCATAATAATACAACATTCATTTGTTTCATAATACATAAGGTACAACCAAACTACATTTGTGTCACTCTTGAGCTTTCACTGAGTCATGCTCTTCTGGATGTCATCCCATTTCTTCTTTCCCTTTCCCTAGAACTTCCAATAGTTGAGTCTTCTTCAAGTATTACAAATGGATCATTTGGATCCCTTCCAGGTCCCTCTATATTCTTTGTCATCAAAGTCCTAAGTCTGTCACTCTTTCTAATTGTAGATGCAACAATCTTTGACTTTTTCCTTGGCGATATCATGATTTTTCATCTGTTATAAAAATAATGTTATCAAGGTAAAAAAATAGAACATGCCAAATAAGTCTATCGGAACAAGTTACAAACTTACATGGTCACTCATAGTTGGGTTAGCAGCAGGTTTAGCGGGTTTTGATACCTTAGGACATTTATCAACAAAGGTTTTGGGACCAAGCATATTATTCTTTGCAGGACTAACATCAATTCTTAATGGTGGAATATCTAGTATCTCATCATCATTTAACAATGCCTCTAGTTCATCAGGATCTATACCACAGTACATTCTCATTGTCTCAGATGAGGTAACAAATTTTCGTGAAAGGTGTACCACAGGTTGAGTAGGTGTCACATCAGTTGGTGCAAGGTTTTCTTCAGGTTGAGTAGCATGAATCATATTTGTTGCAGTTAGTGCTTGAGCCTCATTTCCTGCACTACCATGACCCCCATTTCCTGCATTAGCATGACTCCCAATTCCTGCATTATAATGACTCCCAGTTCCCGCAGTAGCATGACTCTCGTGTCTTGCAGTAGTCTGACGCAAATTTCCAGTTTTTGATTTCTTAGATGTGCCTCCTTTTTTGGTTTTGGTTGTACCTTTTGGCTCACCCTGCATCTAACATAATTGTAACAAGATATTGAAAATTATATATGAATTTCTAATGTAACTTTTTTGTTCAGTTTGAGTTACTAACCCTTTTTTTGGATCCTACAGTAGCCACATTTTGTGTTTGGCTTCCTTGGGTGGGTGCAACATCTCTTGGCAATTCACCTTCAACAACTACCAATTGTTTGTTTTTCTTACATGCCCTTGCAATGTGTCTATATTCCAAGCAAGTCTTGCACCCGTGGCTTGTGTTTTTCCTTTGCCACCTTGTTTGACTTGCCTCATCTGGATCTCTTCTTCTGAGTTTGGTCTACCTACACCTCTCTTATAACTTAGTGGTAAGATATTCGGGTCAGCAGTCCTTGACCATTTGTTTTGGCTATTAATGGGACTGATAACTTCATTGTAACATGAGACATAGGTAGAAATATGGTAACACTTACGTACATGCTTAATGGGATTATCTATCTTCCTATGTATGGCAATAACAACATGTCTACATGAGATCCCAACCAAGTCCCAAAAGTTACAAGAACAAGTATGTTTTGCCAAGTCTGTAACATAAATTTCTGTTGAACATTACATGACTTACTTGAAATGTTAATCTACCTCCATATATGGGCATCCAATTAGCACTTTTTTTATCTCCCTATCTAACCTTCTAAGTGGTTTAGACATGATCTCTCCTTTGTAATTTTCAACCTTCTCCCTAAGGGTGGCAAACCTAGCCATAAGATAGTACCTAATCCACTCAAACATGGTAATTATAGGTTTATCCCTTTGCATCAAAATAGTAGCATTGAATGATTCACTTAGGTTGTTCATAAGAACATCACACATAGAGTACAAGGGAAATGCATGTTTACACCATTTATTCTTGGGAATAGCATTTAGCCATCTAAAAGCATCTAGACTTACCTCCTTAATTTGATTCATCTTATCCTCACAAGCTTCAAAATAGGTTGCCTTTGCTGCAACCATTATGAGATCTCTATATAGTGTTCCATCCCCAAACTTCTTCTTGAAGTTAGCATATAAATGCCTTAAGCAAAATCTGTGCTCAAACTCAGGATATTCTTCCTCAAATACATTCACCAGTCCCTGCATATACATGATAACCACATCAATAAGTAACATTAAACACTAAATAAACAAGTAACATTAAGCATACCTTTTGTTGATCAGACATGAAGCACCACCTATTATCAGAACCAATATCTTTCAGAAGTAACTTAACAAACCAACTCCAAGAGTCCCTAGTTTCATTCTCCACCACTCCAAAGGCAAGTGAAAGACATTGATCATTGACATCCCTACTGACAAATATCAACAAGATTCCACCATATTTGTTTTTTAGGTGACATCCATCTAACCCCATTAAATAGTCTACATCCAACCTTCAATGCTTTCTTTGTACCATCAAAGCACATGTAACACCTTTCAAACCTAGGTGGCAAACCATAAATGTTCAACTTAAATGTGTTTCCTTTGGATGTCATCCTCAATTCAGCTCCATATGACCATAACATGCTGTATTGCTTGGCTGAGTCCCATTCAACAACCTTTCTAGCTAGCTGCCTTATTTTGAAAGCCCTACATTCAGTAATTTCTATAGCAAACCTCAATCTTACATCTGCTACAACTTCATTTAATTTCATACCTGAATTGTTCTTTAACTTGTCAACAATCACTCTACATACCCAATCAACATTAACATTCTTGTTGAAGAACTTTCTTCCACATTTTTGCTTCTGAAATATAGTTTTGATCCTGAATGATGCAGTTCTCAAAACCCTGCTGCATAAAACCGTGTAATCACACTGTTGTTTGTCCTTACAAACAACTCTACACGTTGTCCCATCATTTTTGGCAAACCTGACCTCCCTACCATTCAACACACTGTGTTCCAGTATATCCTTTTTAAATTGCTTCAGAGAAGAAAATTCCATTCCCACTTTGAATTTAAATTCTTTTCTAAGGTTTTCATGTTCATTAAACCTTATCACTGGATGCATAACACTATCACTATCATCATCTGCCCCACTATCAAGTTCATTTGTGATGTAATCATCCCTAATTACATGTTCTCTTTGCATCTCAGTTGTAGTCAACCCTTTAGGTATCCCTTGATCATTATCCATTTGACTTGTACCATCACCATTATCCACTCCACATGTACCGGCATCTTCACCCATGTCTTCATAAAAATCATGCATCCTCTGTTCTTCACTATCTTCAAAGTGTATACCATTCAATGAGTCTTCAGATGATTCACTATCCTCGCCATCTTCATTCTCCTCAACATTAACATGGCCTTTTTCTTTCTCTTTTAACCTCTCCATATAAGTCTTCTCACCACTAGATAATCTGGCCTCTATATATATATATCTCAATATCACACTTACTCTCCTCGGCACACTTAGCTAACATTGTTGCATCCTCATTATTAACAAGGGGTTTTAGATCATTTTCAAGTGAGCCATGTTCAGACTTCCACCATATTTTCACATCTTCAATTTTAAATGATGAATCCATACCCTTAATTAAGTCACATGCTTCAAAGAATGACCAGAAATCAGGATCTTACCCACATACAGCATAAACATCACACCCTTCATATTTTAACCCTTCATCCTTTACGAATGAACCTTTGGTATAAAAGACAACCTTAAATGACCCCATTGCCTACACATTTCAAGAAAAAGGAGGTGTAACTCAGACATTACCAACAGATAGATTAAAGACGAAAAACCCTAGAATTTGGGATCAGGCCGTGGGGCATGTAAGTAATGCTCGGAATGAATAAATTATAACAAGTGAGACTTACCTAATCGTTGTTGGGACAAAAACAGTGCAACAACCAACTGAAGTTTCTTCAATGTTTGGGACCACAAGAGGCAGATTCGTCATATTTTGTTATGCTGTTGAAGGAGAAGTTATGTAATGAATTTCACTTGGGAGAAGTTATGTAATGAGACATGCCACTTGGGAGAAGTTATGCAATGAATTCCACATCAGAAAACAAAACAAATTATTTAATCCACCTGTCTTATCACATAGGAAGCCGTTAGTGGAACTTGACGTTGGAGACCAATTGTCCAGACGAAAATTTTGAAGGGACCAATCTTTGAAGAAAAATATTTGAGAGACTAAAAACGAAATTTAAGATATTTATAGAGACTTAAAACTTATTTAACTCTTAAATTAATTAATTAATTATTATTATTATTATTATTATTATTATTATTATTATTGTTATTATTATTATTATTATTATTATTATTATTATTATTGTTTTAATGTTTATCTTGTTTTTGACATAGGGCTAAGTATTTATCAACAACATAAAGAAAAATAAATAACGAGCTTATTTTCCTCGTAAATTTTAACAGCGCCTCATAAATCGAGCAACCACTGGCATTTCCATTTCGATTTCCATTACCAATACACCAAATCCTCATTTTCTCCACAAATATATATATTCCTTCATTCACACACGCAGTCGCTCTCGCTCTCTCGCTCGCACACACCTCCAAATCTCATCGTCTTCCTTCTCCTCCCGTCATCCACCAAAAACCCTTACATCACACAATTCTCGAACCTTCTCGATCGTTTCCGTCTCCGCCAATCCCTCCGTCAGTTTCAATCACCATTCGGATCTACTTCCTCTTTGCGGCGCTTTCAATTTATTAATTTCTTACACTTATTTACTTTCCTATAGATTCATATCGAATTTCGCACACTCCGTTACAATTGATATGAACGGTGTAATTATCGCTTAACGAAACATCGCACACTATGAAAATGCCACCAATATCGTCCAGGATTGAACAATTCACTCATGTCGCATCTACGCAATCTAATTCTGTTTCTGTTAACGGATTTTGGTCTAACAATTGTGGCGACGTTAGCTACAATCAGCTTCACAAGGTATTTGATTCTATTTATTTATTTATTTTTACTAATATATATTTATTTCATTTTAGTTTAAGATTGCTGCTAGATCACTGTTTTGTAAATTTGTATTGATTATTGTGTAAATGGTGATACGGGTGATTTGCTTGCCTTTTTGTATTGGATCCTACAGTTGAACCAATTTTCGGATTTCTTTGCGAGGGTTTTTTATGTAGCATTCGTAAACGCAATGTGTATATTTATGTTTGATTAATGTCATTCAGTTTAATCTTCATACCAGTCTCTGGTACAGGCTATAGAGTAAAAGAATCCTGGTGCTGTACATGTAGTTTTCTAGTAGCATTTTGTATTTAGGTTTCTGCTGAGCCATATTTACCTTTTTTGCATTGTCTTTAGCCCATCAAGGTTGATATTAATGATACTGTCAGCCGAGTCATTGATTTATCTACAGTTAAGTAAATAATCTTCATACTGATTGTGCTGTATCAACGCTGGACACATGTTTGTGTTGAATACATTGGATGGCCCAATGTTGTCAACTGCGAACAGTGGACTGTTAAAATTTTGATATGAAATAGTGTACTATAGCGACACCATTGCAGTTATTTGACAACATTTTATACCAAATAGATTATCGAGTAACAGTAGCTGTTAGTCCCAATTCTGCTGCACTACAGCAGTGTAGCGCCACTGCTATACTGGCTATTTAACTACATTGACAGCCTGGCTTGTATTTTGGAAGTCACCATTTTATAAACTTAGATACCAATGGAGAGTTGATATTAAATAACTATGAATTGTTTTTGACCTGGGTCATGTTGCATAGATTACATTGTTCTTTTGATCAAATTGCAACTTCTGATATGCTTACCTTGTCTCTTATTATTCGGTGTTTTATGTTATTTTGATACAGTTTTGGATTGAATTGTCACTACAAGCTCGGCAAGAACTCCTTAGGATTGACAAGCAATCCCTTTTTGAGCATGCTCGTAAAAATATGTACTGCTCCAGATGCAATGGATTGCTTCTTGAAGGATTTTTGCAAATTGTTATGTATGGGAAGTCTTTGCAGCAAGAAGGGGTGGGTGCTCAATTTCCTTGTAACACACTTGGAGGTTTGAAAAAGCAAACTAATGGTGGATCAAGCTTTATAAAAGGGTGCCAAGATGAAATTCCAGATCCATCTGTCCATCCTTGGGGAGGCCTGACCACAACGCGTGAGGGCTCATTAACGCTTATGACCTGCTATTTGTATTCAAAATCTCTAAAAGGATTGCAAACTGTAAGTGAAGCACATTACATTGGATCCTCACACAATTCTTTCTCTCTCTTTGGTGGCTAAACACTTGCTCTTGTTAGGTTTTTGATGGCGCACGTGCTAGGGAGCGAGAAAGAGAACTGCTTTATCCTGATGCATGTGGTGGGGCAGGCCGAGGTTGGATTAGCCAAGGCATAGTGAGTTATGGCAGAGGACATGGAACAAGAGAAACATGTGCCTTGCACACTGCCAGACTTTCATGTGATACACTGGTAGACTTTTGGTCAGCGCTTGGAGAGGACACTCGATTTTCTCTTCTAAGGATGAAGGAAGAAGATTTTATGGAGAGACTTATGTTCAGGTGTCTATTTGTATATTTCTTACACTGTATTATGCATTAGACAAGTGAAGACTGTTATGGTGGGATAAAAACACAAATTCTGATACTTGTATAGAATAAGTCATGCAGTTGAACCTGATATACAAGAAATGGGAATCTGTCACCTGTCTCTGATGGATGTTTGTGTTTGCTAGCTCCATGCTTTTGCACCGAACGGTGAACACAACAATCCTAATCATTTTTCATCACTTGCATAATCGGTGTTGGTTTGTTGTTCCGGTTTGTCTTGCCTATAAAACAGTAAACAAGTGGCTGGGTAGGTTTTAAACCATCCCATACCATTGCTTGGTGTTGTGGTGGCTTTTGAAGTGATACGTATGTGCCGTTTTAGATGTTACATGTGGCGTCTCTTGCGGTACATACATATCACTGATTTCTTGGAGGTGGTACTTGAGATGACCTTTGGTTTATCCCATTTTGTCCCTTACTCATGGCTGCTTTAGATTAATTAAGCCCTGCTCTTTTGCATGTTTTGCTCCCCTTTGGGGCGCAAAACTTGCACTATGTGTGGAGTCATTAATGGATGCTACCTGGTTGATCTTGCCTGTAGTCATATGCGTGTGTCAAAGATTAAGCCATGCATGTGTGAGTATGGACTAATTCAAGATTGGGATCTGAGATATCTATTCTGTGTCCCAAAAGTGTCAGACAGAAAATTGAGAAAATTATTTCGGGTGCTGGTTATTTTTTACCATTCGTATGCAAGTGATCTTAAATCAAGTATCTGTTGAATTCTATGATAATGTGGCTGCTGGTTTCGGTTTGATGCTAAAAGATAAACAGGGAACTATATCATAGGCATTGAACTGAAACATTGTTCAGCAACATTACCCCGATACAGTAGATGTAGAGTAATATGGTTGGAAAGTTTATTTTTATACAATTCTGTCAGATGTATAGGAAATATTTTAGCGATATACTTAAGTTAAAAAATTAAAACAATACCCGGGATAGACTGTAGGAGGAGAGATGCTTATTAAATCTGCCAGTGATGTGCATAGGTCTGGATCTACCCAATCACATTACTTGCCTGAACTCATCTAATGATAGCCATCTTGATTTTTGCCTAAGATTGATAGATTAGATAATGCATTATAAGGAAAATATTACCCAAATGATTCAGACTGTGACAGGACAGTCTTCACTTATGACAGTGCAGTATGAGTACTTTAGACTTTAGGTAAGATAATATGATTTTGTTGGAGAGAGTTATATATTTAATGAACTTTGTTGACTGTAAACATGGACAAATACATAAAAGAGGACTATGCTCTCCAAGAGTTGTTGTCATGCAGTTTTTTAGAAGATAAATTAGCAGATAAGCTATTATTGCTATTGAGATGCAGTTGGTAATTAATTTTGTGAGGATTTTAGAACATCAAAGAAATAAAGCAACGCTTTTATGTTCTGTCCTGTTTTACTTGAGATTTCCTACATTGTCTCTGGTGCTGCTTTGCCAGTAACATAGTGGGTCTTCGTGTCATTAGAGAAATGGAATCATTTTTTATTCTTTAGCCAACTGCTTTCCAGCATTTTGCTTTATTTATCATTCAATTATATAAAGGCAGTGCTGCTCCTTTATGCCAAGCTTTATTTAATTTATTTTCTCATCCTTTGAAATTTTGCTTCAAAGCTGTATTATCATTCCCTGTTGACATCTATCATTCCCTGTACGCATAGTTTTTAAGCATGTTTTACGCTCATCTTTTCTAATAATTTACTATTTATCTATCAGGTTTGATAGCAAGAGATTTTGCCGAGATTGTAGAAGAAATGTTATCCGAGAATTCAAGGAACTAAAGGAACTGAAACGCATGCGCAGAGAACCTCGTTGCAGCAGCTGGTTTTGTGTTGCCGACTCAGCCTTTCAGTATGAGGTTTGACTTTCATATTTTTATGCTGCTTTATATCCTGTAAAATCAGTTTTGATTGAGATTTTAGGCTAAGAATCAACAAAGTATCACTCTTATGAAAATAGTTTTTTTAAAATCAAACTACCATCAACAACTTGAGTAGATATTCTACCTAACATCACCATTCATCAATTTTTTTTTATCAGGTATCTGACGACTCGGTTCAAGCTGATTGGCGTCAAACATTTCCCGATACTTTGGGAACCTACCATCATTTTGAGTGGGCTGTGGGCACAAGTGAAGGAAAATCTGACATTTTGGAATTTAAAAGTGTTGGATTGAACGGATGTGCCAAAGCCAGCAGCCTTGATCTTGGTGGTTTGAGTGCTTGTTTCATCACTCTCCGAGCTTGGAGATTAGATGGACGCTGTTCTGAACTTTGTGTTAAGGCTCATTCGTTGAAAGGTCAACAGTGTGTACATTGCAGATTAATTGTAGGAGATGGTTATGTCACAATTACGAAAGGGGAAAGTATCCGAAGATTCTTTGAGCATGCTGAAGAGGCTGAGGAGGAAGAGGTAATACAAGTTTCAGTAAGGAAATAAACTTCTTGCTTATTATCCCTAATTAGTGTAATTTTGATAAGTATTCACGAGGAATTTGTCAGACAAAGTTTCAAGTTTCACATGTTATTATATAATATATGGCTTCTAGGATGATGATTCAGTTGATAAGGATGGAAACGATCTTGATGGAGAATGCTCTCGTCCCCAAAAGCACGCAAAAAGCCCTGAACTGGCTCGAGAATTTCTGCTAGATGCTGCTACTGTTATTTTTAAAGAGCAGGTATGTTTAGCATTAATTTAGTTTTCTCATGGCTCTATCATTCTGTCTTGATCAGCCACTGACTGTGTTATCTTTTCAGGTTGAAAAAGCTTTCAGAGAAGGAACAGCCCGTCAAAATGCACACAGCATATTTGTCTGTCTTGCACTAAAATTGCTGGAGGAACGAGTGCATGTAGCATGCAAAGAAATCATTACATTAGAAAAGCAGGTCTTAGTTATTATGATTTTGGAAAAGAACTTTTGGGGATTAATTAAAAAAGTTCTTGTATATATGTTGAATTACTCTTACTAAATCCTAATTATATGGTTGTCTACAGATGAAACTTCTTGAAGAAGAAGAAAAAGAAAAACGCGAAGAAGAAGAACGTAAAGAGAGGAGAAGAACAAAGGAAAGGGAGAAAAAACTTCGGAGGAAGGAAAGACTAAAAGGAAAGGAAAAAGACAGAGAAAAAACATGTTCTGAATCAACTGATATTATCGGTTCTTCAGAAATCTCAAAAGAAGAATTAG